GATTTTCAAAATGCAAATGATCTGTTTACTTTATTTTCAAAGAATAGTTTGTTTTGTTATTGTTTGGTTGGTGTCTTATATGAAACTGCGACATTGCGCAATTTATTGGACAGACTTGTTTAAGATCACACAGCGTAATTTGGGTGGCGTTTTATTTCGTATTTTAAATCATCTTTTTATTTTGGACAATATCTGTAAATTTAGTTTCCTGCTCTTAATTGGGAATACATACTTGATGGTTTTAAATGCTCCTGAAATTAAGTGCTGCTTGACCAGCCTATATTGTGTATGTATGTGACGTCACTGAAGGCCGAAGGTTGAAATGCACGGCCCGCCACTGCGGTAACTACTGTACTGTACTACGATTTAAGAGATGAGTCGTGCTTTAATATTTTTTTCACCAGCAGAGGGAGGCAAAGCCAGATTAACAAAAAAATATTCTTGTAACATTTACTATTTTAAAACTACTCCACTGGAACTTGCAAGTTGGCATCCCACAGCAACCAACAGTGACCTATTTTAAGATCTACCAAAATAATGTTGGGGGTGAGGGGTTCAGACTTGGGTGTGAAAATGGTTGGTGTGTGGTTGGATTTATGAAAAAAAAAAAAAATCACATTTTATTACTCAATGACTCAAAGTATGTACTTTGTCATTATGTTGTATTTTTCAATCATTTAAATATTTTTAATTTCATATTCCTCCCAAAATCCAAATAACATATATATGACATGCATTATGACTGAAGACGGAGCTAATTTTTTTTCCAGAACACAACATTGAAAAATCAACGACTGATTAAATGATGGAACGGATCAGAGAGAATGTCCCAAAATTGCATTTATTTATAAACAAAAACTCGCCATGCTGCCTACCGCCATAGAAGAATAGCATTGAACATTAGCTGTTCTATTAAACAAAATAAAATGAATGAGACATGACTGTCAGTGTGGGAGCAAACTGCTATTGACAGAAATAGAGAGAGGCCCAAGCTACAGCTATGCAGCACACTCGTCAGACTATGTAGGACAACTTTAACAGGAAATTCTTAGTGTTTTCTTACAATAGCGCTCTTTTTTTTTTTTTTTTAAACATCATCACAATTGGGTACGTCTCGTTCAGCGAGCTTTGACTGACTTAAAAGCATCAGTATTATGAAACAAATCACACAAATTATGTCAGTAGTTTTTCCAAAGAGCTGCCTTCATTCCAGTGCTTCTTAGTACAAACAATGCCGTCACTGAAGTGATAACGGGAAAAAAAAATGCATCATAGTATTAGATGGATGTCAGTTAGATTACTGATCATGAATGTTTTGTTTATTGTGTGTTTTCATCATGAGCACAAAACAACACAAAAACAACCTCTTGTGATATTGCACCACATTTTCGATGCCTACAAAAGCCTAGAGAGGAGAGCTGAGAGAAAGAAAAAATGTCACTATCTTGAAAAATGCAAATTGAATCTTTCAGTATTGCTACAGTATTCATAAACTAGCATCAGATAGCAATAGTATCTTCAAGGGGACACGGTACGCAAATCGACTTTTAATTGCTTGTTATACAGTCAGTTCATTCTGCCCACCTATCAAGTGTGAAATGGTTAAATTAGCCTTTGACTGCTTTGCGCACGCACTACTCATCTGCAGTCTGAATGTGGATTGGTGCACATCTCCTTCTCTGGAGGAAGTCTCAGACTTTCCAATAACGCCACGCCAGTCAGAGGATAATGAGTGCAACATTTTGAGCAAAAAGATGATCAAACCAATACTGGATATTACTGTGTACGTTTTGGATGGCAAAATATATCATTTACATCATTTTGCAAGATATTCTGTAATTCCCACTCCTGCTTCTTCATGTTATCTAGACTATTGAGTATGTGCCAGCAGTTGGCAAACCAGCTAAGAGGAAAATTACGGCATGCCACCAAGTGGACTGGAGTAAATGCACTCGGAATGACACAAAAATGAATTGACATTGTCACTGAGGCCTTCTGAGACATTGGGGTAATGTTCTTTCCATAGTTTTCACAGCATCGCAAGCTGTCAGCGATGGCAGTTTGGCTCCATACACTCATATATCAAAACAGAAGTAAAAGAAGATATCAGCCCAAAATTCCCCAAAATGAGAAGAAAAAAAAAACCTCACTTTATGTCAGTTCAATGTGAAGCAGGCCGAGATAAAACAAAAGCTATTGCACGGCTTCGGAGAGACGCTAGTATAAATAATAATAACAACAAGGACCAAATAATCAGACCATCAATAATGATGCTAATAATAATAAGAATGATAATAATAATAATATTAACAATAATAAAAATGGTTCAGACCCCCCTCACTCTGCTGGTTTACCACTGCTGCCAGCTAAAGTCGTCGTTAGATCCGAAGACGAGAAAGAAGCCCAGGATGGTTGCAAAAATGACGATATTGCCCGTCGAGACGAGCGCACACGCCCCCCAAGCGATCTGCAAACATAAGCAGCGATTCCACATGAACTCCAAATGCCTCGCTTGCTACTTCAAATATTCGTACAACTCCGGCGACTTACAACTTCAGCTCGCGCAAAGACGATGGGCAGGCCAAAAGCTGAGATGATGATGCCCGTCGTGAGGAATATGGCCAGCTCTTTACAGGCGTTGCTGGCTGAGTCGGTGTCGTCCACGACCCGCCGCGAGATGCAGTATGGGAGGGGCGAGAGGATGTAGAAGAAGAGGAGGAACAGTGGCCAGTATTTGCTATGTGCAGAGAGAGATGAGAGGTGCGTTGCAACAGCTGATGTGGTGTCCAAGAAAGAGAGGAATAATGGATCAAGGAGGAATGCCTCATACACAATAAAAAGTACTCAGTGTCCAGCTTGTATCACAGTGTAAATTTGCTGTCACCTCACAGTAACTCGACCCTGGTTAATAGGGCCCAATTTGGACATTTTCACTGAGGGGTGGACTCACCTTTTGTTGCCAACAGGACGGCAGATTTATTTCCCATTGTATGTTAGCGGCAGTGTTGGGCAAATTACTTAAAAAAAAAAATCATTATAGTTACTAATTTCAATCACAAAGCAGTGATTGAATTAGGAACTGGATTACTCCTTCAGAAATATAATAAATTATAAGGGAATGTCATTATTATGTTTTTTTTTGGTTTTTTAACCTTAAAATATGTCAAAGAATTTCAATTTTTGGGCCTGTGACATAGAGGAGAACAGCATTGACGTACACTTGATTTTACTTAATATTAATTGCACATTAAACCACAACTGGTAGACATACTGAAGCATGCTAAAAGTTTCAATCATAAGTAATTAATGTGGTATATATATATATTTTTTTTTAATTTAAAAAATTGTCAAGGCTTCCTTACTCATACACAGGGAGGGCACATCCCAGCATAAGGAACATGAGACCGATGGCCCCTCCAAAGGACAGCGTGATGAGAGCTAGAAGACAGCAGGGACAATTCATTGGGGACACCTCACAACAAGTGAGTTAAGGAATTTGTATTTCATGTCGCGACTCACAAAAGTACTTCATGTAGTTAAAACACAATCACAAAGACAATCAAGTCTTATGGGAATGTCTGACTAAACAATGTGTTTTTACCTGCTTTTTAAAATATATATAAAAGTGGCAGCTCTTAGCACCAGCAGAAGTGAGTTCAACGATTTGGGGGCAACAGACTGCAAGGCTCTGTCGCATATAGTTTTTTTTTTTTTAATCTCATGTGAGGGACATAAAATAAACAGGAAGAAATACCTGCCTTCACACCACGCTTTTGGTGTTTCATCAACACTCAAAAGTATAGAATGTAAAAAGTGTGAGATAACTCTATTCATTCTGAGATTTCATTCAATGAAATAACACTGATGGAAAAATAAAGCAATGAGTGATTTTAGCCGTTGCACTAAATATGATTTTTCATTTTTCTAAAGCTCTTTTTTGTTGCTGTTGTTTTTTTCTTCATTTGTATTTTGTAATGGTTAAACATACGGCAAACCATGAGCACTTTTGCGTACCAAAGAAAGAAACAAGAGTTATAACATCGCCTGTATCGGGCTCAACAATTTAAAGGTAGATTCAAGTCAATAATTCTCTTTACAATAAAACGTTGTATGCGCCCCTACTAGTCTTAACACAGTATTTTGATTCACAATGTGTTTGTGGAATACAAATTAAAAAGAAAAATCCACACATTTTTCTTCATCTCAGCGGTCTGCCAATTTGGCTTGTACTGCTAGGTAACGTCACTGCTCACGGGTCTTCTGGATTTGGTCGTGTGACGTTCATAAGATGAGCCCTTCGGCACTGAGATGTCATTTTCGGTCGACAGCAAGTGGCAGTACAATGCAAATGGCAATCCCCTACATTGGATAAAATGGATAGATTTTTCTGTTAAATGCATGTTCTGTAAACACAATATTAAGCAGAATACCATGTTTACACCAGTGGGGGCGCTGAGAACGGTTAAGAAGATTTCTGAGTTGACTTCCTCTTTAACTTATCCAGACATTTGACTTTCTATCTTCCTGTTATGAATCTTGGGATCCCCCTCACCCCCCCC